GTTTTATGTTATCAATGTTATCCTCCTTTCCATCATTAGTGTCATTAATATTTGTGATTTCCATCCATCACTATTTATGTCAACATCTTTAGTATGCTTCCTACTGTATATCATTATTATTATTAGCCTATTTATTATTATAGCCTATTTCTTTTCATAGAAATCCTGCTAGATTTCCAGTTAATAGTTGCTACCAGCAAACTTTGGCATTATCACATCATAATGTTTCTATTTGATCACTATGCTATAAATATCATATACAATGTAATAACAGAAATGAAAACATCTATTGTTCTTTTAATGCTATTGGTCTTATTTTTTTTCTCTTTTTCCCCTCCTACACGCTTTTGTTGCTGGTGTAAATTTGTAGAGCAATCAGGTACTACTGCTAGAATTTTATGCATGCATTTATAGTACTGCTAACCTGTAGAATATTGTGGTAGTCGTTATTATTATTTAATATTAAAGTGGCCTGATCCAGTTTTTTTACATCATAATAAGAGAACAATGCGAGCTGTCATGACAAAATGAGTCTTGTACAAAAGATGAAAATTGATGAGTTATATTGATATATTTATAGATGACTATATACGGTTTCTTTTGTTCTTTGAAATCAGGTTCCTGGATTGAATACAAAACAAACAAAACATACTTTAAAATAAAAAATTGCATCTAAAGAAAAACAACTGATAAATTTTGTGTTGGTTTTCCTATCAGTTCAACTTTAATTTATGTAACTCAAGTCCGAACATTTTGTATAATATACTATTGTACTTTGTAAAACACTATTTTTCGATATATCAAATTGACCTGTTGTAAAACAGGACTCATTTTGTCACGACACCAAGCATATAATTGCACTCTAGTTATCAGCTGGCTCATGTAGATAAGCCTAATAACACCCAATCAGAGCTGGATATATAAGTGCGGGCTCACAAAAAATTGTGATACGGGGACATGGTGATGCTACTTTGAATGCTTTGAAAGAATTTGTTCAATAACTGCATGTGTTTATATTGTGGTATACATGTACACTAACAAATATCTTGTTTCATATACATGGGCTGGTCGTTACGCTAATCAAAATTGATTTATTGATTATTATTTTTAGCAAACTTATTTTTGAATTTAATTTCTCCACATGTGTTACTGTGCAACTTAAAGGATACTGAATAATTGTTTAGAAACACTAATTTTTTAATGAATAACATAAATGCATATTTATGACTACTTTTTCTATTGGATGTGGGAAAAGGAATTGCAAAATATATAACTTATTTATATAACTTATTGGGAATACTAACATTATTTTATATTTACTATGGTTTTTGTTTATTAGTTTTTGTGATATTTAAAAAAAAGTATTGTGCTTTTAAATACAGTGAAAATCATAAAATTCTATTGAAATTAACTTGCTCATATTGAATTAACATCAAAATTATATTGAACTAGAATATAGAAATTTAGTGTAGTATATTTTAAAGATTTAATACTCTATAACTTTATGCCAAAAATTGAGAAACATACTGTAATAGAAACACTTCCAGTCATGTGTCTGTAATTTTCTGTTTATCTGTATAAAACTCAAGGTATTAAAAACATATTTTTTATTTCTAAATTCCATGCTTTAAAGTTGATAAATTTTATTTTACTTCAAAGGGAGCAAGATAATTCAAGAATTGATTAATAATATTTATTTTTTAATATTATTTTGTTTTGGTCATTTTATATATTTATTTAGGCACATGTGGGCACAGTAATATTGAATAAAAGTATTAAAATTCTTGGAATATTAATACATGAATTATTTTAACTTAATGAAATTATACAAATTAAGGTAATAATATATTATTGAGTGATTATAATTTTGTTTTTATTATCTTTTGTATTAATGGTTTATTTTCTAATATTTTTTTATAATATTAGGTTTTTGGTTATATGTAATGGTTGGATGGTGTGCGATAGCTAACTGCATTTCTCTGAAAATTTCTAATTTTTTCTTTTCTTTTTCTCTATCCTTGATTTCAAACAATTAACTAATACAGAAGAACTAACCAAAGGTAAGTCCTATATCCCATTATACCCTAATTTTTAATGTTTTTTTGAAGACCGGCTCTGAAGGAAAACATTTTTTGATTGTACAACTGGTTTAATGATTTACAAATTTTTTTTTATATTTAAAAACTGGGGTTGAAGGGGCATAACCACACTTTTTCCACCTTCTCCCCTAGTTTTTATTCAAAAGTCTGTATCTCATTAACCAAGTATTTAATCAAACACCATTTTTGTGGCTTAGCCTTTAAACAAGTACAGTAGTTATCATAGCAAACCAGTCATTCTGCACAAAAAATTGATTTTTAGTTATTAATACAGTAAACTGAAAAATATAACATCGTAAAAAGACATTTAAATCTGACATTTGGTTATGAAGTTACAGGAGTTTAAACATACAGCTGTTTAAAGAACAATATTTGAGAAATCAGCCTTCAACGTTTTTATGATTTTGGACATTTTGTAGGCAGAAACCATCACCAAATCATTGAAAATTGTTATTTTAACATTGAAAATGTCAAAAATAAAGACATAGCATGATGTATTATAGATATAAAGGTTAGTTTAGTGCAGTAAAATAAAAAATTTGGACATTCCATCATGTTTTGCCATTATCTCTGAAACACAATTTGCGACCAGTGACTGGTTTGTCTTGTCTTTGCCAAATAATAGCATTCATGAATGTTGTGATTTGCTTGTGATAATATATCATAAAATAATACTAACCACAAATATCTAGTTGGAAATTTATGTTATAAATATGCATTGATGCACAAAAATATATTTTTTTTTTATGGCTTCTATAGATATTTTTGGTGAAGTTTTCTTTCTTGATAAAGCCAAAAAATGTATATTGTAATAATAAGTTTAACATGATTATTCATATTCAGCCTGAATTCAACCAAATAAAAATATTGAACCCCCATGGATTTGAATATAATGTTTTGTCAAGATTATAATTTTTTGACAAAAAACTTTTGTATGCCCATATTTAGTTTTCAAATGCCTATATTTGGGCATGATGTGATGCCATCATGACCATATTTAGGTATGTCACAAGTTTTTGGCAAATAGAATATGGTCTAGACAGGACTTTATACCAGTTCCATAACATACAGTGCTCAATCTCCTATGGCATATACCATACTGAAATAGTTTTGTATAATTTCTTAAATAATATCGTGACTCTTATATTGTTCATTATTCTTATAGAATGTTCTATAGACACAATAGAATTTAATATTCAAGAAAGCCATCCAATTGGTAAGTAGCTTTTTTAAAAGTTGGATCACCCATGGATGGAGGCTGTGATTCACCCTCCCCCTTCACTCAACCCATGCAGCAAATTAGTTCCACCAAGTGGTTTAAAATACTAAAAATGACCTTTTAGTTTTCATTGGAATAGGGATTTAGTTCCACATCATTACCGAATTATTCGTCCAACTTTTTTTTTTTTTTAGAAAAATCAGTTCTACAACAAACAAATATTTTTTTCAATCCAGAGCCTGCGGCTTAACCACTAGGGGAAAATGGCCATCTCGATCTTATTTTATCTTGAGCAATGTTATTATAGGCACGTTGTGAAGAGTCAAAAGTAAGCTTTGAAATAGCAGTTTACTTGTCATAAGCCCTGGGTCTAGTGCCTGTGAAGACATTCTTTGTATTAAGTTACTTCAACCTTACTACAGACGATTTACTCCTGAGTAGTCTCAGGAGTAAGTGTGTTACTTCTGCATACACAAGAAATATAAGGAATATGCGGTCGTAGTAGCACCGTGTAGACGCATTTACTCCAGAGCTCGCAAGTAAATGCGACATTATTTTGACCTCAATTATTTTGAAAAGATAAATACCTACAAATGAGTGCCAAAATAACGTGATGTGTAAGCCTTTGTAGACATGATGTTTTCATAATTATTTACGCGTAATTTGCACATAAAAGTTTACGTTTGTCATAACTTTATTTCAGACAGAAGGTCGTCTGAACATAACTAATATTATATTCATTTTTAATTCATAAAGTATTTGAAAGTTATCTGAATTGGTTTACTTTGTCAGGGGTAAAGCATCTTAATTCTCCTTCCCCCAAATAAAGCTTGCAACATACCCCTCCCACGAAGTTTCCTATGCAAATTATGCAAGTACATAAAAGTTCCCCCTCATTTAATCATCGAACCCTCTCTAACATTTTTAATATTACCCTCAATTCTTCCCCTTTCATTTAGTTTTAGATCTGCTTGAATCTTGAATTAAACATTATTATTATTATGTTTTGACAGATGTACCTGTTGCCACTTTGGGATTTGCAGGCACAGTGGAAGAGCCTAATCCAACAATTATATTAAGTATTAATGTTTTAAATCTACCCGGAGCATTGAGATTAGTGGGGAGAGACTTGTACTTGGTATACTCATTAGTGGTAAGCACAAGATATTAATGCATAATGGATATAAGAAGTGTATTAAGACTGTTTATTGATGGTGGCAATGATGATGGTGGTGGTGGTGATGATGAATGATGTTCATGATGTTTAGTGTTAATGAGGATTTTTTTGTTTAATTAATTACCACAGACAAAGGCTCAAGACCAATCTGGCATAGGCTACAGAAAATATAAAATAGAAAAATAAATAAGTAAAGAAGGCAAAAAAAAAAAAAATTATTATTAATGTTCCTCTTAAAGAAGCACTCTTTGTAGTCAGATGGAAAAGAAACAGATGGGAGAGAGTTCCATAGCACTATTGCCATTGAAAAGAGGTAATGGTGATAAATTGTACTTAGGCCTATTTCTATGATCAATCTAATAATGATGGTGGTGGTGGTAGAGGTAGGTGATGTGGATGGTAGTCATGACAATAAGATGATTTTTCTTGGGGAATATGGCGATGTTAGTGATGATGTAAATTTGTTGAATGATATACTATAATAATAATAATAATAATAATATGGTAATATAATTTACATAAATAAAACAAGGTCTCTATGCGCTCAGGACTAGATGTTGCACTTTTCAATAACTTTCTCCTCCCCTTAGGGTCACTTCATGTCCTGTGCAGCCATCTGTCCACGACAGGGGCCAAGTGAACCAGTACATCAGGGTAACCCCCTACTCATCTCAAAAGATGTACTTTTCTTTAAAGTGCACATGAGCATTTGTGTACACTGGGCCTACGGTTTATAGTCCTTATCCGAGAAGACTTGTTCCACCACAGGAACTATAGGAGCGAGCCGGCCGCGAACCCGTGCCGATATTGTTGGCTATGATCACAGTGCCCTGTATAACCGCTCAGCCATTTGGCTCGCTCAATACTTTAATATCTATAATTAATGACTTTTGTTTTCTATTTCCATAGGACACTTCAGTACCTGCTTTAATAGTTTCAGTGATTTGTAAATTATATATCGATCCTACAGTAAGTTGTTGAATTAATTTGTGTATCAAAATATAAAAAGCTTTATACTTTGCTTTGAAAAAATCATTGATTTTACATATTTTTTCCAACCAAAGTCCGAGGTTATATTTGAGTGGGTATTAATTTTTTAGCCATCCTTGTATTTAAAAGAAATTGAAGACATGACCTATCTCTTCCATCAGATTAACTTACTAGTTTAGTCCTATTTTTTCATTTGATTTCAGTAGTAAAGTTTTTCACCCTGAAAAGTCGCACCTCTTTACTTGAGGTGACGCCACCACGGCACAGTAGTAGTGCTGCAGGCCTGTCATTGGTCGAAGCTACTATAGCTAAGCATACTGACGCTAAGGTACCTATGTGTACATGGTAGTAATGGCGACATCTTAAAATGGTGGGGGATGAACTTACCTTCTCCCCTTCACGTTCGCGACAGTGTTCAAATTAAATCAGTGGCGTAACAGGCGGGGTAGGGGGGAAGACTGCCCTCCCCTGATGGTTTTAACCAGGCTGAACTAGCCGTCCTACTGGGCTGGGTAATAAGAGAAAAGAAAGAGGGGAGAGGGAGGGAAAGAGAAAGAAGAGGAAGAGAAAAGGAAAAGAAAAAGAGGAGAGAAAAATAAAGACAAGAATAAAAAGGAAGATATCATAATGACCAGACTCACAACACCATGCAACCTCTTCTCCAATTAACTCCTTTGATCTAAGCTGCCAGATGGCGTAGGCTAACCACCGGGGAACAAGGGGAAAATATCTATCTTTGGAAAATCTTTCCCACCCCTTTTTAAATGCTCTCTTCATCCCCTGAAAGTGCCTAAAAATCTCAAATTTCGCGCGCTTTGCGCGCATTTCTTGTCAGAATAGGCCAATTTCCTCTATAAATTGCACATTTTAGAGAGTTTTGATCAATTCCGACGAAATTAAAATTAAAAACACAAATTTTTGTGCGCGCTTTGCGTGCATTTACTAGGCTTTTTTAGGGTTATCCTTTTAAGTTATTTAAACACATAATAGTCCCAAACTCAAGAAAGAAAAATTTAAGATAGATCATTTTAACCTAAAAGAAGGGCCTCAATGTATGTTGATGGTGAAAGAATATGTTTGTAATAAATAAAACCATGATGAAAATGCTTATATTAGTTTCAAACACACGTATGTGGCCTATATTATAAATAAGATAAGCCCTATGTCGTATATGTATATGTGTGTGTGTTCTATATGGGGAGGGGGTGGGGTGTGTATGATAAATTACTAACCGGGAAAATTATTACCTTTGCCCTCCTGACCCAAGACCGCTGTTACGCGCCTGAATTAAATTGTAGTGTCTTGTGACTGCGTCTTGAGACGGTTTTGACTGTTGCAGGCACTATAAAAATACATGGCTGTTTTCAAAAGTTTGATTGTTTGATTTCATAGCTGGAAACAACATGGACTATTTGCAACTTGGTGGTTGAGATGACTTACAATTCTAGCATCTGAAGTTCAGACCTTGTATTACTATACCTCATAAATATTTATTAAGTAATAACAGCATTTCATGGGCTGCACAAATAGGGTTGTAGAGGGCTGCAACAGAATCGCTGTGTTGTAAAGGGAGACGTTAACATTGAATTAAATTTTTTTTGACGAAGAAATTATGCCCTACTGAAACTTCATCTAAACAAAACAATATTTAGATTCTATTTTTTGTTCAACAGAGTTCAACTGTAGCAAATGTGAACATAATAGTCAAAGATGAGAATCTAAATGCACCTGAGTTCCAGAATGAGCCGTACGAAGTGTCAATATCTGAGGTAGGAACCAATACAAGCAGTGGCATAAGCTGGCAGGGGTGGATTGAGAAATGTCCAAAAAGGGGAGGGGGATGATGAGGCCTGGAAATGGAGCTGATTGAGGCAAAACTACCCTTCAAGGTCCGGGGGCAAGCTCCGCGAAATTTATTTCTTTTTCTTGCTTTCTTTTTTTCCCTTATTTTTTCTTTCCAAAAGGGGGACCAGGGCCGGCCCGTTCCCCCCCCCCCCAAATCTGATCCTGGCTGGTTTCATCATAGGGTTGCTGAAATTGAGAATGCAGAACTGTGGTGGGAGTGCACAAATTTAGAAAGCAAAAATTGGTGAAACTAATTTTCTGCCATGGGAATCTCACTCCCCCATTCTACACCCATGACTAAGTCTCTTTATAATTTCACGCAACCAAAGTTATGGCAGTTATGATTTGACAAGAGTTACCATACCTCACTCCAGCATGAATAAGTTGGTGGTACAGGGGGAAAATATCAATTTTACACCAAAAAATGTAAAATGCCTCTCTTGAATATTAACCCCAATTCAAAACACTGTTGGACATGGACAGTAAACTCAACTGATGGATGCATTCGAAATATACCGTGTGTATGTATTTAACCAAAGGATCCACTGATTATTCGCAAATATAATATGAGTATGGTGACTCCGAAGAATGACAAATATGAGGACATAATTGATTACACGTTTCATTCTTTATTACAACATTGTCAAGAATGACGTGAATTTGCTTATTGAAATTCATGTTTTATATATTTTTGTAATACAGAACATATATAAAACATGTTGTTTATAATTGTGCTTTGTTTTGTTGTTTCAGTTAACTCCGATTACAACCGCAGTGTTTGATGGGATTACTGCCGTTGATAGCGACTCCGGAAGCAATGGGGATATTAGTTATAGCATTATACCAAATCCTGAGGATCCAGTAAGCAACTTAATCAATTAAGTCTATGTATTGATCAAACATTATCATAATTATCCTCAACATTCTCATTATTAGGCCAAATAAAAAAAAAAACTATTGTGTTGCCCACGCCCGACCGACCCAAAATGTGCAAAATTGAGGTTTGGCATTTTATTTATTTATTATTTTTTTTTTTTTGACTACAACAAAAAAATTTTTTTTTTTATGAGCAAAAAGCTGAATATCTTGGTGAATAGTAGGTGATGCGACCGTGTTATGCGATCGTTTTTCTTTTAAGTATAGAAAACTGTCTTTTTTGTATTTTTTCGTAGTTTCAACTTTTTAGGCATAAACACATTTTTTCAGAGGAAAAAGAAACTTTTTCTACTATCCTACCCATTTTTTGGATTTTCCAAAAATGTGGCCAACACAAGAATTTTTTTTTTTTGGCCTTATCCATCATTGGTCTTACCATCATCCCTATCACAATTACCATCAACATTTTAATCATCATCTGTATCATCATCATCAGCACCATCATCATCAACATTACCATTATCATCAACATTACTATTATAAACATAATCATCATCATTATCAACATATTATCTTCATCATTATCATAGTCATACCATCATCATCAACATTTTCATTATCACATTCATCATCATCATTAGCACCATCGTCATCATCACTTTAATCTTTGAGAGTAGCTTAGATCAGTCGGCTAATCTAGTGGTAGCCGCTGTGTGTGCGCTGAACACCGGGATTGTCTCCCGGTGTACTGCCGAATCGCCACCAGAAGGACCCCACTGGAAATAAGTCTTCTTCTAGACTTTTGTGGGCTATCCTTGGTGTTTACACCGAATAAATCCAATCCAATCCAATCCTATTCACCATTGCTGTAATCATGGTCATCGTTTGTCGCTGCCACAGTCGCTACCATTGACTTCATTATCATCATCATCATCATCTTTTCGGGAATGGGGGGATGAGGGTATTAGATGATGACAATGGGGAGAATGATGATAATGTGAATAGCGATGAGGAACATAGTAAATGATAACACAATCCTATTTTTTCTTTTTTACAAAAGAATTTTATGTTATTTTTCTCACAGGAGGCGCAGAACTACTTTGGAATAAGCGTTGTATCAACAGGAGATATCTACCTAAAACAACCCCTTGATTTTGAGACAAAGCGTGTTTGGAAGGTCAAAGTTGAAGCAGTGGTTAGTCATGATTTTCAAATATCTTAAAGACCTTCATGAGTTCATACTATCTTTTAACAACTAAACCCCTACTGCAGGCAAATGTATTGAGAAGGCTCTTTGGTTATCTTGGTAATAGATGAATAAATTATATGCACATAGTCAGCAAAATAGTCTGTCCCCGATGTAAGCTATATAACAAGTTTGTGCATTATCATTGGCCAATCATTTATCAGGGGAAGTGTTAGGGATGTCAAGAGGATATGTTTCCTGGTTTTTGCCACTGCCGTCTTTTTTTTTTTATAAACTGAAAAGATAAAAAATGGCATACAAATAATATATGTTACAATATTTTGTAAAAGCATATACTGAACACCAATCCATTATTCGATACATTTTCTTTATAATTATATTACATCTTGGCCTATATGAAATTGGTACCCCCTCATTTCAGAAATTCTGTATCTGCCCCTGTTCATTCTTTAAAATTGTTACATGCGCATTTGTGTTTCAATATGCGTATATGAGTTGACAAAAAGCTGGTAAAATGTACATTTTTTTTTAATTAATCAGCTGGACTGACTTTTTAAAGTGTCCACCAGATTTGGCCTTACAAGGTGAAAAATATCAAACAGGGCAAACATTTTGCTCATTGACCTGCCAGTCAAAATTTGCACTGAACAACAAGCACGCATTTTTGCTTGTATACTGATCACCCGGGGACTGTGGTCTTTATAATAGAACTACAAATGTTACTAATGTTTATTCTCATGGAATAATCAAATGTGAAAACATCTAATCAATAGAAATAGAGAGCTAAGTATTTTTTTTCAATTTCAAAATGAAGGTAAAAATTAGCAGACTCGGTAATTGTATGACATTTAATGTGATACACCTTCATCATTTTTTGAATGCTAAATAGGTCTCCAACTCTGTAACTTACTGAGTTGTAGTAAACCTATAGATATGTAGACACACCAGGCCATTAATGGTAGTAATGTTGGAATCCCCTGTATATTGTAGTAACCTTTATAAGAGTTTCTGGCACTTTATGTGGGTTTCGGTACTTTGTCACGTTATGTGCATGGGCTTAGACTGGGTTAGGGGGGATAGGCTGGAGACACATCCTGAAGATGAAAAATTAGTTCTACTAAGTGTGTTAAAATTCTAAAAAATGACCAGTAAGTCTATTGGAATAGGGATTAAAGTTCAGCATTCTGCAATGTTTGTACCCCCGGGCCATTTCACATACCCCCTCCCCCTGGACAAAAAACAGCCTTCACCCCTGATGTGCCATGAATATCATGTCATGCAATATTGTGTTGTGTCAGGTCATATTTTATGCCATTTTTTTCCATAGGATGGAGGTGATGTACCACAAAGTGCTACAGCAATAGTAACAATAAATGTTTTGAATGGGGATGATATTCCACCGTATTTCTTATGTTACAAGAACGATGATCGCTGCACCACTGTCTGGTATTACACAACTGTCATTGAAGAAACGGTAAGCTTGTAAGCCTTGTAAATGTATGCATTTCTACAAAACGAGAATATAGAAATTATGTGAGGCCCTATTTTTTTGTAGATATTACTTGCATCTCAATTTTATTCAAGGAGATACTTTACATATAAAGCCACCAGCCCAAAAAACAAGTTACAAAAATATACATCTTAAATTACAGATAGCAATACTATCCAACCTCTTTGGAAGTTGGTAACAAATTTTAACCTATTCAAATGAACAATTTAGTGTTTCCATTTAAATTTTTTTTAAATTTGAACTTCAAACAATAAACTAAAAAATGGACACTGAACATAATCATTACTGATTATAACAAAATTTACCAAAATTAGTTTTTTATTTCTCATTAATAATAATATTTTTATTCACCATTAAGTACTTTTCAAATAAGTTGCTGTTACAGTATATGTATGTATATGCATATGTGTATATATATATATATATTTATTTTGTGTTTATATTTTTGGATTTCTATATATTTTTAACTGGTGGCCTTGGCTTAAAGTTTTATTCTAAACTTATTTTGGCCTCCTTCCACACACTTATTCTGTAATGTACTATTATTCTTAGTTGGTTTTACTATTAAGCTTTTGTTATGTATGTTAATATGTTCATGTGTGTGGAGAAATAAATTAAACAAACAAACAAACAAGTTAATTAATTGTTTATTTGAAGTAGAGAAGTACAACTTTCTTCCAAAAAAATGTTCTCTCTGGATAATTATCTGTGTACTGTTTTAGACTATTATGTATATTAATTTGATATTATGATTTTAATTTTCTATTGAAGTAGATTGATAAAAATAAATACATTTTAACTATGAATTTTTAAAAATCATTATATTGTTTTGTCTTTATTTTGTAGACATACAATTCATCGTTGGATATTTTACCGGGACCTGTGAAGGCGGTAGATGGTGACGTAAACATCACTGATTCAGACCCTATAGTTTATTCCATTATATCAGGTTAGAATATTTGTGAGGGTTTCATACAGTTGCAAAATTGTTGTTGATTTAAAATTTTCATTTAACAAGATACCATTTTTATTAACTGCTGCATAATATTTCAACTTTATTAGATAATAGTATTTATACAGAATGAATAGCTTTATACAGAATGTTTCAGAGCACTTAGAATATATTACTCTGGTTGTTAGAAATAATTATGTTACAAGAGTAACAACATTTACTCCCTCAGCATTCCTAGATGAAAGAATATTCTGCATATAGCATACAGCATAATTTTTCCAACTAAGTACCCATATATCAGCTTCTACCTTTTGGTTATTTTATAAAGAACAAATTAGTTTGTGCCTATTTGTGAAAACTGGAATTTTATTACACATATTTGTGCTTTTTTATTTACTCAAAAATTGTGTGACAAGACCACCACATTTTTTTTTTCACAAAACAATGGTGAAAACGACTTGTTTGATTGTTACTATTATTATTATTATTATTATTATTATTATTATTATTATTATTATTATTATTATTATTATTATTATTATTTCTCAAAATACTAATTGATGCATTTAAGACCAACCAACCAAGTTCTTACTTACTTATTACTTGCTTTAACATACAATAATTACCCTTATAAAAAAATTACTTTGTAACATTAAAATTGCAAAAATATCTAGTTATAAAAATGAGAAAATACAATTATTATTTAAATATCATATAAAGTGTAGTTCGTTCCCCACAATTCCCACAATGTATTAACCATAGTCCTCTCCTAATTCTTTAAAGGGTATACACCAGGCTATGAAGATTACATCGCCATCAATGCTAGTACAGGTGATGTTTATCTACTGCAACCAGTCAATTATGAATCTCATCAATTTTTTGGCCTAAAACTCAAGGTACATATATTTTTTGTATTTATGTAAAATATTATATACATTAACACATAAGTGTGTACAACATTATTTTCACTGCACATAGTAAAATAAAATTAGATTAGTACTAAATAATAATAATAATAATATTATTAAATATAAGTATGTACAACATTATTTTTGCTGCACAGAAAGTAAAAATGGTTATGAATTAGAGTATATAAACATAAAATCATTAAATATAAGTATGTTCAGTGTGATTTTTGCTGCAAATAAAATTGGTTATTATTCATTATATTAAATATTAGTATTTGGAATATCATTTTATTTATGCACACAAAACAGTAAAACTGTTTATTATAAATTAGATTAATAAATACATATCATTAAATATATATAAGTGTGTAAAATATTATTTTTTGCTACAAGTAATAAAATGAAAATTTTTACAGCAATATGAATTAGATTAGTAATCATATATTATGAAATATTTAAGTATTGTATCAATATATGAGTTTATTGACAAAATATGAATATGTAGAAGCATAGCACCTAAAAGCAACATATGCAAGTGTTTTATTGTCAATTTTTTATTGCCAGGCTACCCAAGGAGCCTTTGATACCATCGCTTTACTAAATGTGAGTGTTACCGATATGAATGAGTTCCCGCCGACACTCCTTCAGACATCATTGGTTGGCTATGTCTCTGAGAATTCTGTGGAGGGTATAGTTGTAGCCAGCAATGAGCAGGGAACCGCTCAACTAGAGATCTATGCAGAAGACAAAGATGTTCCTCTGGTATAAGTTTTCTCAATTATTATTGATTGATTTTTTCATGCTTGACTGATTTCCTAATTTCTTCGTGCTCGGCTCACCATTGACCCCAAACACTGGATTCTTTTATATTTCCTTTTTCTTTATCCCAGTAGAAATTCAATGGGATTGAAATGTTAACTTTTGAAGTGAATTAGATTACATATAGAAAAATCATTAAAATTCATCAGAACTGCAATTTTTTCTGGGAATTTGGTTCCTAGACCCCAACTAGGGGCCCTTGCAGCCCCTTGCCCCATTTGTTAGGCTCTGTAAATGCTCCACTTGTGAGGTGTTCAGCTGGGCAATTGGTGCGTTGTATGACGGTCATATGACCCTCATACGACAATTCCAACTCCGCTCCTTGTGAGTGCTAAGCGACGTGACGCTGTCTATTGATTGCCGGTGGTTGTCTGAACGGACAGTCATTAAAAACGATCCGTTGTGCGCGCATCTTTACGTTGCGTTCTTTATAATGAGAGCCCGGCTTTATAGAACATAGCATTTAGAAAATCAAAATTAAATTCCAGAACATTAGAACTGCTCCTGACCAAGTGCCATTGACGCAATCCCCCAAACCATCCAGTTTGCTTCGTTTGGCAAAAGCTTATCTTAATAAAAACATTGGGGGTGAATTTGTAGGACAAATCTTCAAAGCTGCAAAATTCACTCATCCCATTTGTAGAGTTGTGTAGCTTAGGTGTTTTGGGAATGGTTTGACTTTTATGCTTCTTTTGCTTTTCAACTTTATTTATAGAACGGGGAAGGCGATTTAGTGTATATCACAAATGATACAAGTGGTGTGTTCCAGGTCATTCCATCATTTGACACGTTGTCTTCAAAGATCGTTGTTAGCGGACATATCGATAGAGAGATGAAAGACGTGTATCAATTCTCAGTAAGTATTACAGTGTTAAAAATTATAGAAATCTTCAGAAAATTCCATTACAATTTTGAATTGCTCTTTGTAAATAGATCAAATGAATAATATCCCTTTCCAATGAACCATTGACAAATACAAGACTAAATACACTGCCACGGTATAATTGAATTCTGAAAAATTAAATAAACTCTGAAAAATGGAACAAGTAAATAAAAACTAATGAAACAAATGAACAATGTTACATCACTGAGTGACGAACTACATAGTATACCAAAATAGAAAAATGTGAATTGGAATTAAGGATAAATGAGCAGACTAGATGCAATACAGAATTACTAACACACATTGATCTTGTGATTTTTAATACTGTTGCAGAGATTTATAATAAAAGTCAAGTAGGTGGTATGTTGTGTTTTTCAAATAATATTTTCTTAAATTACAAAATTATTTCCGAAATGCATTTTAAAGAATGTACTATGGTTCAGAAAAATACAATCAAAATAAGGTGTGAAATTAAAAAAAGAAAATGGGTAATACAACAAAGTTATTTAAAAATGAAACCAATATTAAATAGTCAGTTACTAGATCAAATAATCCAATAACTAGGAAAAGTTAAAGGAATTAAAATTAAATGTTTGTGTTGTGATACAGTTAATGCTCCTACTGGTACAATTTATTGTTAATGTTGGTATTATTTTTTATATTTTCAGTTTACCAATATTGTTATTAATAATAATATTCATAGTATATTTGTATTTTTATGGTTATTTTTAGTATAATTTTATTAATGCAATTTTTTTTTCATAACACAGTTGTTTGTGAGGGAAAACCAGACAAATGAGGAGTACAGTAGTGATCCTATCTTGATAACCATCCTTGTTCTTGACATAAATGATGAAGCACCAAAATTCCAGCCAAATGCATACAGCAATGGCCTCAATGGTTACAAGGTGTCACTTAGGGAAAATTCCCCACCTGGATACATTTTCTTCCAGGTAAATCTAACTTATTTTTTTCCTTAAAATATTTGTTTTTTATATAAAATGTTGTTCCTTTCCTATATTAGGCAATTTAATTATATTATTTAGTCTTCCCTTGTTATAAAAAAAAAATTGAAAAATTTCTGAGATCAAGTACAGCTCTTATTACAGATTATATTTAAACTGAAAATATATATTATGTATTTCTTATACTCATTAATCAATTGTATCTTAACTATATATCTTGTATTTTAGCACCATTTAACTTTATTTATATTTAGTTTATTTATGTGTATATTGAAACGTGGAAAAATAATTTCATGTTACTTGAACTTGAATAAAACCTCATTCAAATATTACCATTTTTAACAAGAACAAAAAAAAACAACATAATATATTTGGTTATTTATTCACATATTTATATTTATTATAATTATTCCTTGGTTATAAATCATGTTCCTTGTTTATGAAGTATTAACAAATTTTGATAATTTGTTTTTAATTTTGTTTATATTTTACCCAAAAAGTTTTTAAACAGAAATAGACATCGAGTTTATACTGTAAATTTAATGTTTATTGTGTCAATAGGTCATGGCAATTGACCCAGATCTTGGACAGAATGGAGAGTTTGAATTTAGCATACAAAGTGTCACCAATAATGGCTACTCCAAGTTTTCTGTTGAACAAGAAACTGAAACAGCATTTTTAAAGTATGTTGGGGGAATGCTCATTGCACGGGAAACATACGTTGTCAACTTAGCAGCAACGGATAAAGGAGACCGTAATACTCAGTAAGTAGAACTTGATGTGTCTGGTCTTAGCAAATGATATTATATCAATAAGCTTTCCATCTGTGCTTGGGTATGCAACTTGGCATTTTCACATTGGACCATCTCCTGTAACCTTTATCAACGTGAGTTAAATCATATACACATAAAATATATGTTAGCACCAGATGCTTTTCATAATCGTATTATTATGCTTGATACGATTATGACATCACATTCCTTTTTGAGCACGGCTATTATTAATTATGTATTAGTATTGTGTTTGCGATGCCACCTCATTTCAACAATATTTACTCTAATTTCCCAGCTGTGACCTACATGCTTTTAAAGCTAAACCGCAGCTCCACTATGTGTGAGCATTGCAGTAAAGCTACAGTGTATATGAGAGAAATTGCCTGGGGATAGATTTGTGTGTATACCGTCTAGGTTTCCGTGAATGGTATGATACTCGACTTGACATCAAGCGGTTACAGGTTCAGTTCCCACCAGAGACACTTAACACAACTGATATTAAGGAACTGTTCTTTATTATTACACCATGTTCCTATTTGAGCACTGTTGTTAGGCCAAAAAAAAAAATCATTTGTTTGCCCTCCTACACCCGCTTTAAAGTTACTGAAAAAAATAGGGCTGGAAAAACAAAAAAGCTTAAAGAAAGGTTTTTTTTTTTACAATTAAAAACAATGTGAGTGAATTTATCTTTTTTTTGCTATATGCCTTACACATTAGTCCAACGTTGTTGTCTGATGTAAGATATTTCCATTCTAGGCCTCTGTGGGTTGTTATTCCATCTGATGAGTAAAAAACCTTTTTCCACCTGCCTCTTTTTATCATTTAAAAAAAGAAGGGCAAACAAACAATTTATTTTTTTAGGCCTTATTATTTATCTGTTTGCCAACAAATTTCATAGGTAGATGTTACTTTTAGTAGAATGTTTCATTAAAATTAAATTCATAAATTTCAGGACATCTGTTGCCAGTATTGAAGTTGACATTCTGCCAACCAATGACACTCACCCCCCTGAATTTGGAAGGCAGCTTTATACTGCATCTGTCACTGAGGAGGCATCAGTGGGAACGCTTGTCACCACACTTATTGTAAGAACAACTTTTATAGTATTAACTCCAGATAAACCTACCTTTCATAGTATAAGTACCATAAGATGCGATGTACAAATTATCACCAATGACAGAAACGGGTCAAATAAGTTTTCTATTGTTATCTGACGATTAGCTCTCCAAACGCTTATCTGAAATGCTTTTGGAAGCTTGCCGTTTGAGCTGTTTAATCCGTTTGGAAGTTGACTCCTCCCCATTTCATATGCCTGGCTGCTCATGAATGCTAGATGTTAAACATATTTAGCAGAATGTGGAGATCTGATCGTTGTACATTAGTTTGGTTTATTTCAACATAAAACTTAATTTTCAATATTTTTATTGTACGGAAACGCTAGTTCAACGACACAGACCCATTTGTCCTAGTTGAATGACACAGACCCATTTGTCATAGAAAACAATACAAACAATGGCAAACATGTTAAACGGCACGTTTGGACGCATCTCTGAAATAATCGCTAATAGGTTAATAATATTCATGAGGCACAATAATTTATATGATAGCTGTCCTGCACGCATTTGTAATGTATAGTTTTTCTAAACCCGTTTCTGTCGTTGGGGATAATTTGTAGATTGCACCTAATCTTAATGTAAAATTGTGTGGAACATTTGTGCAAATATTGCATGCCAAGTAATTCATGGTTGGGGACTTTTATAGCGCATCATACGTGCACTCCGATGTCACAAAAACAATTTAATATCCTACAGCCGGGCACACACTGCAACGTACAACGGTCCTAAGACGAGGAATCTAACTCCGCTCTCTGTGAGCGATAGACGACTCGATGCCATTTGCAAATTGTCGTTGGCAGCTCTGGCAGATCCGTTCTGTGCATGTTGTTGCATTTGAGTTCTTTATGAAATCGTGTCACCGATGACCGTCAGACTCAGTGTGTTTCTGGCTTAAGACTACCATGGAACTCAATAAACCTCCTTATAAACAGAGCTTTGCAGAGAGGAACCAAAACCATTCCATAATTTTCCACCAATATAACCTTTTGCAAGCAGTGGTTCGCAAAGACATCACACACAGATGCACTATAAATGATGTTGGCAATTTGACTAGCCCATTATAAGAACAACAAATAAATTTGGAAAATAAGAAACTTTCAAGACATGAGATACAAAAAATAATTCATTTTTTCAGGCTGTGGATGAAGATGGTGACACTGTGATGTATGAGATTATCAGTGGTAATGAAGACAATGCCTTCATCATTGAACCTCTCAGGTATTTTAAACATTAAAATGTCTTCTATAAATATTAATTTCACCCAAAGTTGTACTACATAGTTTAGTTTTTATTCTGTATCTCTTACTTCACTCTACAAAAAATTGTCAACCAATTAGGTTAATTTCACACGCTTGAGCTGCGATGACGTCAGATCGCCCAAAGCTAGCTGCACAGCATGCAAGCACATGTTTACAACTACAGTACATGTTTACTGCAATTACCGCTCGAGTCAGACGCATGCGCACACAACGGTAACTGCAAAAACAGTTTGTATCAACACACATGGAAATTCTCTTGCTCTGTCACTGCAACCTTATCTAGGCCGAGGCTATCCTAGGAGACCTACGTTTTTGGCGTTCATGTTTTCTTTCAAGATTTGAACGTTCTTGTTTAGTTTTATTTTACGTGTCAAACGATCTATATTAAGCGTCGTGAGGGCACCGTTTTTTTTCTAAAATTGACCGGAAATGACATTTTCGACCTTTGACACAAAGGACCCTATAGCATGTCTGTACCTCTGTAACCATTGGTCATGGACACCTAGTTTTGGCCTCAAATTGTTCTAAATATGCATGTTGCTATTTGAATTATTGCAATGTTTTGTCCAAAAAGATAACAGAAATGACATTTTTGACTTTATATATATAATATATATATATTATATATATATAAATTCATCAAAGAAAGGTAAATACAGTGTTTAATAAAGGACAATAATACATCGCGTAGCATAGTTCTCAACAAATGTAGTCCTGCAAATAAATGAATATAGAAATTGTGTAATAAAATGCCTCTGGCGGGACTCGAACCTGCGACCTCTCGCTGTCAAGGCGAGCGTCATAACCATTAGAACAAGGAGGATTCATGGTTGAACAGATTCAAATACCACCAGATACACTTCATTACACAATAGGTACGGCTAGAAACAATATAGGTACATATAATATAAATCTAGATAGCCGTTAACACTGTTAAATTATATATAATAAATCATCAAAGAAAGGTAAATACAGGTTTAATAAAGGACAATAATACATCGCGTAGCAGAGCTCTCAACGAATGCAGTCCTGCAAATAAATGAATAAAGAAATTGTGTAATAAAATGCCTCTGGCGGGACTCGAACCTGCGACCTCTCGCTGTCAAAGCGAGCGTCATATATATATATATATATATATATATATGTATATGTATATATATATGTATTTACGTATATATGTATATGTGTGTGTGTGTGTATATGCATATATGTCTTGTGCAGATTATTTCACTTCATGTTCAAACCTAAACATTCCATTTGCTAATGAATACATTTGGTGTTCTTGATAATGATGTTATTGATGATGATCACATTATAAATATAACTACATATTAAACTTCCAGTACACCATGTGTAATAGTAACCAAACATAAAACATACATAATTAATACACCTGGTGTAATGGATGTTTAATTATTTTGTTATTTGATACTTGTCATGCAAACCTTGAAGAAATATTATAAATATAATGATGTTAATTATGGTAATGACTGTTGATGATGATGGTGATGAGGGTGATCAATTAATCTATATATTATTTTGAACATACCTTATTTTCTTTTTAGTGGCAAACTGAAGGTGAACTCTGGCCTTGATAGGGAAACTTTAGATTCATATTTACTTACAGTTCAAGCGACAGATGGCACTCTGGTAAGATAATAATTTTATATACTTAACTGAGAGACATCATTGATGCTGCTACGATAAAGATAAATAATGATTACTGGATGTTAAAAGACATTTAGCAATCCAGGTTATATGTTTATTATCAGGGGAAGTGCCAGGTTTTTTGCAGAGGAGTCTTATTAGGCTGGGGTCCAAGGTGCCGCCAAGAGTCCCCGGCAGGATTCTGGAGCAGTTCCCGTTGGGGTATGGAGGTGGAGGCCTAATTAAAATATGACGATTTTGGATGCATGACTTATTTTAAGTATCTCAGGGTCCCTATTACTCCTCTGTTGCAATGGAAAATGCTCAAATTGATTGATTGTTCAATTTCAAATTGCTAAGGTTTTCAACATGCGAGCGTCATATATATATATATATATATATATATATGTATATGTATATATATATGTATTTACGTATATATGTATATGTGTGTGTGTGTGTATATGCATATATGTCTTGTGCAGATTATTTCACTTCATGTTCAAACCTAAACATTCCATTTGCTAATGAATACATTTGGTGTTCTTGATAATGATGTTATTGATGATGATCACATTATAAATATAACTACATAATTAAACTTCCAGTACACCATATGTAATAGTAACCACACATAAAACATACATAATTAATACACCTGGTGTAATGGAAGTTATTATTAGTTATTATTTTGTTATTTGATACTTTGTCATGCAAACCTTGAAGAAATATTATAAATATAATGATGATAATTATGGTAATGACTGTTGATGATGATGATGATGATGATGAGGGTGATCAATTAATCTATATATTATTTTGAACATACCTCTTTTTAGTGGCAAACTGAAGGTGAACTCTGGCCTTGATAGGGAAACTTTAGATTCATATTTACTTACAGTTCAAGCGACAGATGGCACTCTGGTAAGATAATAATTATTATATACTTAACTGAGAGACATCATTGATGCTGCTACGATAAAGAGAAATAATGATTACTGTATGTTATAAGACATTTAGCAATCCAGGTTAATAGCTTGCCTAATATGTTTATTATCAGGGGAAGTGCCAGGTTTTTGCAGAGGAGTCTTGGTAGGCCAGGGTCCAGGGTGCCGCCAAGAGTCCCCGGCAGGATTCTGGAGCAGTTACTAAAGTACTAAAGTATATTTATTTAATATATTTAAGTTAATTTAATGGATATATTTTAGATGGATACAACCGATGTACAGGTCATAGTTCAAGATTCAAATGATAACAATCCAATATTCAACTCCTCACATCTGGCATTCACAGTACCTGAAGGCATCAGTGGAGAAATCGTGGGACAAGTCCAGGTAATCAATAAACATTCAACCTATAATTATTTCGATGGCCATTAAATTAAGTAATAATCAATATATTTTCAATCACACCGATAAGCCAAAATTAATATCCATATCACCAATGCCAGCTATTTGGATAGTTGGACAGTCCGGCACACAATTTTTCTAATGGGTCACATTTTTAAAAATGGGTACAAATTATGCTATTTTATGCATGAAATGAGTCCTTTTTTTTAAATGAGTCCAGATTTCTCATATTTAGCTAAAATGAGTTAAAAGTTTGGGAAAATTAGTTCAGATTTTTCATATTTTTGCATAAAATAGGTTAAAGTTTAAGAAATAAATGGGTCCACATTATTTGAATTTAAGTGTAGAGTAGGTCCACCCTGATGTTGTCCTGCACTATTTGAAAATCCTGGCTAACAGCATTGCATATCACTCTTAATATGGAATGGGGAGCCATTTTGATAAAGTATAGGTGTTAAAACAATAAAGTTTAATAGTAAATACATATATAGTATATATATATGTATTTACTATACATATACATACTATATATGTATTTACTATTACATATATAGTATACATTTACATTACATCACTTGCTATTTACATATATAATTTATACATTATATACATATATACTGTATTTATTTACTATTAAATTTTATTGTAACACCTATACTTAGGGTTGAAATGGCTTACCCATTCCATATCAAGTGTTATATGTCTACTATGGCCCTCAATAATCTAACACCTTAAAGTATTACCTTAATATCCATATCAATAATATCATAATCACTGATTATTAACAATTAGAAATTAATACGTTGACTGCCAGACCTTTTATTTAGGTTCCTTCCTGTGTGCCAAAACAAGTGTACGTGTACGAAATTTTATGTAGTCATATATCATCAAAGTAAACTCGTCGCCGGCAATGGGACAGTACTTTTTATTGCCTCTGCCAAGTGCAAGTTTCTCGTCCGCTTTTTGCACGGGTCGGTATAGTTTCAAAAGGTCCGGCCCACTCGTGCAATCGAGTGTACTGCCGGCAACATACCACAACAAACATATATATGTTATTTGTACGTTATCGTCTAGATGTATGTTCTCCGAACAATCAGACGTTAAGTCTGTGGTTCTACAATGTATAACAATAAAGTAATTAACGCTAGAATGTTACCCCAATTTTGACAAGTATGGTCATCCCTTGCGCCCTCAACAGCACCCTGTGGGACGAGTTTGGCAGCGAACGTTTTAACCAGTTTTAATTTACAAAGCCAATAATCAGTTGTATTTGTTTTTTTCTCAGGCATACGATCTTGATGAACCTGGCACCATCAACTCTCAAGTTGAGTTCACCCTTATCTCGGATGCCTTCACTATTGATCCTGTAACTGGCGTGATCACTACCTCGGAAGCCCTAGACCGTGAAACTCAAGCCCAGTATATGATCACGGTCACTGCTCAGGACAAGGCCGCAAACCCACGAAGCACGACAATAATAGTGACCATTACTGTGTTAGATGTCAACGATAATGGGCCGACGTTTGAAAAGTCTACTTACACTGTAATGGTAATGGAGAACTCGCCCATCACTGATGTAGTAACTGTAAAGGTATGATAGAATATCATTTACATATTCTTTGTGGATCTCTTCACAAAGAGTACATATTTCGGATAGGGCCTTTCTAGATACGTTATTAATTTTAATCTTACAATATCTTAGCCATCCTAGCACTGCAAACAAAATAACCGAATAAAAATAAAAATAGATATATAAATAGAATAAAATAGATATATAACTAGAATATCATTTAATTTGATCAATTAACAAAAAAATAATTTTAAAAGGATTTTGGTATTCTCAAATCATCATTAACCTTCTCACCATTATAATTTAAAGATATGTTTTTTGACTTCTGTCAATTTGAACAATAAAATGTTATATAGTACTGTATGTGATGCCTGACTTTGTATATATAATTAAAGTCATAGTTTCATTTAAAAAAGTGAATGAAAAAGCAGTAAGTAATCCCTTAAATTGACTGCTAATCAATTAAAGATTTTTATAGTAAAGTCTGTGTATCAGTGCAGAGGTGTGGTTGGTTTTGGTCTGAGGGAGGGATGCAAAAAAGAGTGCAAAAATTGAGAATACGGAACTAAATCTCTATTCCAATGGAAACTTAATATAGTCATATTTAGTATTTTAACCCATTTAGTGGAACTAATTTGTCTTCCTGGGAGAGTGTGCACCCCTGACCCATCCCCAGCCTATGCCCATGCAGAGAATACTGAATTGTTTTGATGTATGTCATCATTGGCAGTTATTTGATCCATTCAATATGCAGGTCTGTTTTTGACTTTACCATGTCAATAGTATCATTCTGTCAACATTATCATCTTAAACAATATCAATATTTTGTCTCCTAGGCAACTGATTCTGATATCGAAACAAACATAAGGTACATGATCGTCAGTGGCGATACAAACATCTTTGCCCTTGATTCCACATCGGGAGACCTGTCCGTCCTGGCACCGCTAGACTACGAGGAGCAAAAAATGTACACGTTAACAATCTCCGCAACAGATATTGACCAGCAGGACGCTAATCTTGTGGCAATGACTACAGTAGTAGTACAAGTACAGGTATGTTTTCAGAGTTTTGCTGAGACACAGCATCCATTTCTGTTTGTTAAAAATATAAACATCCTCAGGTCTCAGTCCATGTGAATAGCTGTATTGCAGGGGTCCATGTGAATAGCTGTATTGCAGGGGTCCATGTGAATAGCTGTATTGCATGGATAACCTTTTTTATATCTGGACATAGCAGTACTAATCATTAGGATTTGCTGAAGATTGACTAGTAAACAATTGCTATTTAAATTTGTATGTATGAACTTTAATAGTCAAGATAATTATGGTTGAATTTCATTATTAATGTATGCCTTCGAAACTCACTATAATTTAAAAGCTATATTGTAAAACCTCAAATAGAAGCCCTGTGCTTCCGTTTTTTTAGGACCCTTGGATTTGCTTCTTTTCGAGATTGGCTTCTTTGTTACAATATTCCATTTGTTACAATATTCCATTATCTATCCTCATTTATACCACACCTAAATTGATCCCTGTCATATGATTGGTGGATTTCATATCACGTAACATTGGTTATTTTCCCCATTTTATCACTCATGGAAAATTAGTTCCACCATGCATTTTTTTTTTTCATACATGCATTTACATTCCACACGTTTTTTTCATTGCACGGTGCCTAGGATACGGTATGGCAATCAACCTAATACAACCTTTTGATTCGTTAAAGAGACACTGGACTGTTCTATTTACAAAAAGGGTAGATTTTTTTTTTATAAAACATCAAATTTCTAGAATCTGCTTTCAGAAAAAAGGTAGATTTTTTTTTCATAAAAAATATCAAATGGCAAGAATCTATTTTAGGTGTGCTGTGAAACAAATGGTGAATGTTTTTTATTTTGTCTAATTGAAAGAATAATTTAAAGAGTTGAAAGATAAACAGTTCTATTCCACTTGGCTTTTCCTTGTCGAATGGAACAGTCGATCTTTCAACTCATGAAAACATTCATTATTTGTATACCAATAATTGTTGACCATTTTATTTCAGAACCAGAATGACAACGTACCACAGTTTCAAAAACCTTTCTACCGAGGTTCTGTTCCAGAATATGCTGATCTCGGCACAGTTGTCATTGACAATGTCATAGCAACCGATGCAGACATAGGAGTGAGTACCAACTACAATAAATTTTCCTATGATTATATTAACTTTGATTACACGATAACAAATTGAATTATTCTTTCTATGTTATACATTAGAGCCTCGATTTTACGTACGGCACGGGACCTGAGTGCGTATGTAAATCAGGGGATTCATAAAATTGAAGTTGGGTTAAATTTGTAATGACCTTTGACCTAATATGTATAGATAGAACACTGAATTAACATACATTATGAACAAACGATGTTACTTAGGCATAGGCTAGACCGGCAACTGTACTGGCTTGGGCCTTCGAATAAAACCATGTGTTTAGTGTTTGTATTCATCACTTGACGATGCCATACTAAAAACATGAAAATATTGTAAGATTACCTATACGACAAAATTGTAACTTGGGAATCCCCCTTCATGTCTAGTCTAAACAACAGAGCTGCGGTGTTGTCTGGGCCTGTTGAGGCAAACTAAGACCATGTGCACTGCACTTGGGCGAGCCATTAACCAAGTGTTCGTTTACGAAATTATGCTTACCAGGCTTAGTAAATTTTGTGTAGAAGTTTTCTAAGAAGTTAAGTAGGAAAGTAATTATTTTGAGCACCGTTGGTAGTTGTTCATCTCGCGCAGTTCACGTAGTTTTAAATTATAACAGCCCGGTATTACATTGCTGTTTATACTTTGCATATTATTGTTTATTGTTGCAGTATTGAAATAATAAGCAGACAGAAAGTAACAAATCTCTTTTGACTTATGGTGGCACTTAAAAGGGCTGTTTGTTTTAAATATTTTCGGGGTTTTTGATGACGTCATTGTCGGTATGAGGCGTATGTAAAACCGATGGTTTGTAAAACTGGAGTACGTAAAAACGAGGTTCTACTGTATTAAGAATCATTATCGTTTTTTAATAAACATTAATATCAATTTATTTTTTTAATGTGATTGGCTTGGCTTAGTGGCTAGTGTCTGGATAAATAAATTTAATTAATTTAATGTAAACTATTTTTTATTTGCATATTCTTGTTGAAATTATTCATTAACTTCATGTTTATTTGTTGTGTCTTATGACTATTTGTACTTAACTGAATATTTCTTACCAGGAGTTTGGTCAGCTCACCTACGCTTTTTATCCAGAAAGTGATTGGTTCATTATCAATGAAAACAAGATTTTAACAAAGACTGGACTCACAAAGACGACACAGGATGACTTTAACGTGAGTCTTATCGCTATTTGGCTTTAAACGTATGTGCATGCATATCGGTGGTAGAGTATGTATCGCTTTTATGAAACTGCCATCATATTTATTAAAGCTGGAGAAAGATTAGTTCATTGATTCTTAATCTTTTTGCCCCGTAACCCAAACAAACATCCACGCAATTTGCCACAACCCACATCTCACTACGTTAATAAACAGATAATCCAATTGGGTTATTAACTGGTAAACACAATTTATTCTCTGTCTTACTCTAGGGCATATTTGTTAACACAATATAGAATTAAATATTATATAAATTCTAGAGTCTAATTAATTGGCCGACTTGATTTTGAGTCGCAACCCGTAGTCTTAGATAAGAGGTAATAGATTAGAATATCATCATGTATTCTCCTTTCTTGCCCCCAAAAATACACACAATTAAGCCGGGCAGTCACATGAACTCATGCATTTTACATTGACTAATATTATTTAGTGCATCGTATTTTATCACTTAATGATAGCATTGGGTGGCTACAGAGGGTCCAATAATTTATTGAGGGGAGTGGTGTTTGTCCTGTCTGACGGGAGGGTTTCTTGCTCCCTGGGCATTGCAACTGAACAAATCTGACCGGAGATCAGAACCAATTAGCTGTATGGCCTCCATTCAAGTTCTTGGAGTAAAAGTCCTGGGTGGGAGTCAATAGAGAGAGAGAGAAATAGTATGGTAAAAATGTGCTTTTAAACGAAACAGGATTTTGTAATCTCAAAAGCTCTGATGAGGGCAGTATAATACAGGCAGTAGAGCTAAAAAAATCTATTAATTCAGCCGAGTGTTTCTGTAGCTCCTCATGAGGGCAGTATAATAGAGGTAGTAGAGCTATGAAAGATCTATTAATCAATCAGTCAACTATTAGTTAATCAGCCGAGTGTTTCTAGAGCTCCTCATGAGGGCAGTATAATAGATGCAGGAGATCTGACAAAGATCTATTAATCAATCAACTATTAATCAATCAGGCTCATGAGGGCAGTAGAAGAGGCAGTAGAGTTAAAAAGGATTTATTAATCAATCAGCTGAGTGTTTCTATAGCTCCTCATGAGGGCAGTATAATAGAGGTAGTAGAGCTAAGAAAGATCTTAAATCAATCAATCAACTGTTAGTTAATCAGCCGAGTGTTTCTAGAGCTCCTCATGAGGGCAGTATAATAGATGCAGTAGATCTAAAAAACATCTATTAATTAATCAACTATTAATCAATCAGGCTCATGAGGGCAGTATAGTAGAGGCAGTAAAGCTAAAAAGTGCTATTAATTATGTAGAATATGCACGAAAAGACATACTGTTTGTGGTTGCAATTTAATCTTTTGGTCTATGCTATATTTCAATCCCACATCTTTAGCACTCATACATTTAATCTTTCTCAATTCAGTAGATTAGTAATCACAATTATCAAGTACTGTATTTCATCCTAAGGCTATTTTGACCAGTTTCAACTTTGACCCCAGCATGCTATCCTTCTCTAGTGCATCATTTTAAGGTGTTAGTCTTGGTTTTTGTATGTTGCTTGTTTGGTAGTGCCAATTGTTGGAACAGCTATTTGGTGAGTATGGCTTCTGGTTTACTCCTTCTTTTCTTTGAATTATGACAGTGGAAAGTGCTTGAATTTTCAGCTTAATTCAATAGCTTTGTATATATAGTGCACTTGTTTGAAAATGTGGCAAAGACAAGTCAAACCAGTCACTCTTCGCAAATCCCGTTTCGGAGATAATGGCCAAAACATGCTAAAATGTCAACATTTTGGAAATCTATTTAATTGCGCTAAACTAACCTTTATATATCTATACATCATGCTATGCTGTTATTTTCCCCATTTTCAATGTTAAAATAACAATTTTAAACGATTAGGTGATGGTTTCTGCCTAAGAACTTTGCCCAAAATCGTAAACTTTGAAGACTGATTTCTCAAATATTGTTCTTTAAACAGCTTTATGTTTAAGCTCCTGTAACTTCATAATGAAATGTCGGATTTAAATGATTCTTTTACCATTTTATAACTCTCATTTTACTTTTTAACCTCTGTATTAATAACTAAAAATCAATTTTTGCAACTATCGACTGGTTTGGCTTGTCTTTGCTACAAATGCTTTTTGAATATCTAAGTCATTGACTTGAACTGTCTTTCACCAGTCTAATTTGAATAAGTGATTGCACTAAAGTAGATTAATATGTGGATTTCTAATGACACACAGCAAGGCCTTTATTCACAAGGATTAATAAAATTGATACAAACACTTCTGTTCTTCTTAACATGTTTCTACATATTGAATTGTACACAGTTAACCATCATTGCTGAAGATATGGGGGAACTGCCGCTTAATGGAACAGCTTCAATATTTATACAAATTGTGGACAGAGGGGTAACATTCTATGAAGTGCCTACATTTACAGAACCAGAATATAGGTAGGCAATGACTGTTTTTTTTTTAAATAAATTTATATCAACTAATTTTAGCATTTAAAATACAAATTGTATTTTTTGTCTGATTGGTAACTCTGCATTAAAATTGTACATTTGTTTGCCTTACAGTGCAAACATTACTGAAAACTCGGAAGTAAATACAACGGTAGCCACCGTACAAGCTCTTGCAAACCAAGGAGAAATTGTTACATATGAAATTATAGATGGCAATGAGAATGGTAAATAATTCTGTTTTTTAATTTATAAATGTCTCCCTCTGTAGTTAGAATACTTTATTTTTTTTATGATTGTAGAATATAACAGAAATTGAAAGTATCATAATCCACAGGCAATTTAATATCTGAATAAGTATCTGAACGGTAATCGGATTAAGGTCTTGGGTTCGAATCCCGATAGAGACATACATTTTTCTCAAATATTTATCATCGTATTTATTATCGTCTTTAATTGTCACAAGTGGTGGAGGTGTATCTCCATACCAAAGTTACTATCATGTGATTTCATTCATTCATTGTATATTATGCAATACCTTGAAAAAACGCGTCTGAATGGGAAAGTCCAGGGTATATACATCAAACTTAGCCTCAAACCTAAGTTGGTAGAATATCCAAATGGTAATTGGGTTTGAATCCCAATTGTGTGGATTATATGTTTTTGTCAAATATTTATTATCATCTTTATTTTTTAAGGAAATTATAACAATATTTTACATAATATAAGTATTATATTTTGTCTGTACTGGCTTATTTTTTAATTTATTATTTTTAATATCTAGTGTAATTGTTAGAGAATGTAGCAGACACATTGTGGCTTAAAGCTGTCCCCGTATCTTATTTTGATGGACAGGTCACCTTGGTTGGTGTACTGGATTGTTTGTTTTGCTGAGTAAATAATAATAGAAAAACATATTATCTTGATATCTTTTGTTAGGATTTTTTTGGATCCGTTCGGCAAACAATATAGGGACTATCCTGACGAGGACCATTCTTGATCGAGAATCAACACCCGAGTTCATTCTCACCATTCAAGCGAGTGTTACAAACAGTTTAGGAGGTTCCGTTGATACAAGCGGAGGGAGGAAACGTAGGGCTGAAGGTAGGCTGTGATTTGTTTAGAACTATTTTACGAGGCTTTGAAATACAAAACTTAGCACGTAATGTAATTTCATAATTCTGGTCGTTAAGATTTTAAAACTATAATAATATAATGATAATGATGTTATTGTGTAGGAAATGATAATGATAGTACTAAGTTAAATCATTTCATTTTGTCAAAATGATAATTTTAATAATTGTTCAAGTTTAATGATGATAGTAATGAGTTGGTGATAATGATGTTGATTGTGGTGTAGGAATATTTTTAAAAAAAACAATCAAATGCACAGATATTATTTTTTTCTTCATACAATCCACCAGATTAAATATTAAACTAAATTCCTTTTTTCATCTTGCAATTTACTGCCAAATCCATTATCGTCTCTCAAAACAATTTATCGTGTTATTATTGGTGATTATTAAAGATAATTGGAGTTCTATACCGTGTGAGAGCTGTCTCTTATACACATCTAGATGTGTATAAGAGACAGGATTACCTTTTCGAATTTTCTGAATATTTTACTGTATTGTTATGATTAAAAAAAAAGGCGAAATAAATGAAATGAAATAATAACAGTAATGATAACAATATGTATTTTTATTATTTATCAGATCCAAGTATCACCATTATTGTGATAACTGTTGGAGATATTAATGATAACCCACCAATTTTTACACAATCGCTCTATGTGGTTGGTGTTTCTGAGAGAGCTAGCGCCGGTACTGCTGTCGTAACTGTACAGGTAATTGTATATCATAATGCTAATAATGATGATAATGATTGTAATATTAAATGCTATTCTGTATGAATATTTATTGTCTCCATTAAAAAGAAATCATCAAGTGGCGAATCCAAGATTGCTTTTGCCAGAGGCACGATTGACAATCAAGTCTTATGGTCCAAAGTAGGTGAAACTTAAGGTCTGATGGATCGTGGAGCTTGGGGAGGGGAAGCAGAAACTAAGAAAAGTGTGTTTTGGAGTTTTAGCAAGTTTAATCTCTTATACAATTGATTTTCCTTATGGCAAGTGTTTTTTAGGCTGCTGCTGAGGGGTAAGCACTCCATGGGCATAGGCTGGGATAGGGGATTGCAGGGTTGCACCACCCCTCTCTCCATATGATAGGGAATAAGTTGCATCCTGTATGTTAAAATAATAAAAATGACCATTAAGTTTTCATTGGAATAGGAATTTAATTCTGCATTCTCAATTTTCGCACCACCCCCGACCATTTCACATCCCCAGAGCAAAACCAGCCTGCACCCCTGCACCCCTTCTTGCCACCCCTGGATCTTCCACTGATGATATTAATTAATGATATACAAGAGTTGAAATATTGGCATACCATCTTTTTTTCCTTTTAGGCTAATGATCCAGATACTGAAGATAATATTATCACATACACTTTACAACCATATTTAAGTGGGTCGCAGAAGGGGTTAGATGTGTTTGAGATTGATAGTAGAAGCGGACGCATCACAAATCTTGAGAAATTCACCAGCAACAGTCAAACTTACAAATTCACTGTTCTTGCCACCGTTGAAACGGAGGAATTTGCAGAAGCATCGTGTAAAGTCTTTGTAAGTTGATTCACTGCACATATAAATGTTTTATTTTATTTTATTCAGGAAAATAATAGTACACATAAAAATAATAAAATCCAAGGAATGCCATGAGATAAAAAATTTGAAACCAGGCTCAGGAGGAAAACATTTTTTGATATGTTGTAGAACAGATTTTTCTAAAACACAAAATGCACATTTGACGAAAAACTCGGAAGCGGTTAATGACATACAGATTTTTGAATATTTAAAAACTGGGGAAAAAAGTGGTTACACTTCTTTTTCCCCCAGTTTTTAAATAATAAAAAATCATTAACCGTTTTTCGTCAAATATGATTTTTGTGTCTAAGGAAAATCAGTTCTACAACATATAAAATGTTCAATTTCATACTTAAGTTGCCTAATTTGAATAATTAATTATAGTTCCTATATCAACAAGTCAATTATTAAAATAAGAAACATTTCTCCATCAATTAGTACTGCAGACAGTTAAATAATAACTTTAATAACATTCTTTTGCCTAGTCCTATAGATAGTTGGCATTTAAAATCTTCGTAATCTTTTAAATGAACTATCCCATATTTAATTGAATTTTGAGGTTTTTCCAGATTTTGTTTGGCAGACACATCTTAAAGATAAAAAATAACTGCAAATACTTTCACTTTTATCTTCTATATATACTCATCGTTGTTGTTGTTAAATTGAAAGATGTCAAGTTTAAATCTCAAGCTTTTTTTTTTCACAGATTGCTATCATCGCAGAGGAGCATCGGACTGTGTTAGTTCTTACTGCAGCCTATGATGATGCTTTAATTAATGAAATACACAATGAGAATCAACTAGAAAATGTTCTAAATGCAGAGGTTGAGATATATGATATCAGATCAAACAGTGACCCAATATATACCGATAATTACTTCTATGCAATCAGGCGTGATACCGGGGTACCGCTAACGTCAGAGGAAATACAAGAGTAAGACTTTTTCACTTATGCGCAATGAAAATTTTTTTTTACCATGATTTGCAAAAATTAGTTCTTTTATCTAGTTTAACTGTACGTAGAAGCCAGACAAATTTAAAAGAAAAAAGAACAACCAAAAAGTGCCATTTCGATAGAATTTTGAGTGTACGTAGCAGCTTAGAATCCCATGGTGTCTTCATCCAATTATAAAGCAGGCCTAAAGATGCTTAACATTTGTTACATACATAACATACATAAGAGTACAAGAGTTTGTTTTTCTTGGATTAAAGCATGCCATTGTTGTCAACGACTTGGCATTAGCCCCAGGGGTCCCAAGTCTCAGGACGACCTCCCACACTCGAGGAAGCAAACAAAACCCGGAAACAAACCCGTCTCCTGCAAATTGATGAAATTTGAATGTTTTTCCTACTGTATAATTCAAAAAGTCAGTGCCAAAGGGTATCACATTGCACAGCAAAATAGAATTAGGTATGTTAAGAAACAATGGACCCTAGACTGTGTTCCAGTCTCTAAACTTTGTCTTACTCAGTGAACTGTACTGAACTGAACTTTATTGAACATATGCCTTTAGATCAGCGGCACACATCGGAATGATGGTGAGTTCACAAAAGAAACATACAATATCAAGATAATTATTCAAAAGAAACCAAATCATGGCTAAACTAAAAAACAAGCAAAACTAAGAAATAAAAATTCAAAAACAGTAGAGTACAAAAAAGCAGTTAAGTACAGTACTTCACTGGTATTTGGAAATACAAGAGTTATCTTACTAAGACCTTCTCATTATTATAATTATTATTAATGATATTAATATTGTTATCAATATTAATATTGTTTACAGTGAAAATTCTTAAAAATAAATTAATTTTGGCACCAATAGCATTCCATATTACTTATTTGCATGGCGTTCCATATTACTTACTTGCATGGCGTTCCATAGTATACTTTTTCTAGGATCTAATTCCGCATATCCAAATCAACAACATATAAAAGGTTTCTCGATATAACCAGACATTGGTGGCTCTCTTTGAAAGTCTCAAACTAGTCTGTAACACTAGGAAAAACCAATAAATTAGAGACTTGTGACAAGTCTAAATGGACCTCTGCAACTCCAGTATCAAAAGATTGCTCATAGACTGCTTGTTTTTTTTTCAGATTGATCGATGGCAACACCGATGTACTTTCTAACCAGATCCTTCCTGAGGGTGCTTATTACCTGGTCCAGGCAGAACCTGTCATACAAGAGGATGAACCGTGGAAGTTGGAGTACATATTGATTATTATCTTTGCTGGCCTTCTCTTTATGTTCACATTCCTTGCGATTATTGTCGTCTATGTCTCCTGGAAAAAGTAAGTTTGAAACGATTGATTAAACTACTAAAGTCAAAATGTTCACATGCTGGTAGTAGCAGCGCAAATTCCTGTTGAAATATTTGTAGTGCAATTTCTACATGTGTGTTGGCCGTTGGTTAAGTCATTGGCAGTGTAACCTTCAGCTATAATATGGGCGCTTTTTCAAACAGTTAACTTGTCAATGGTTCCGGTGGTGGAACAAATTTTCTCAGTTAAGGACTTCAAACCGTAGGCCCGGTGTACCCATTGGCTCGTGTGCACTTTAAAGAACCCAGTACATCCTTCGAGAAAAGTAGGGGGCTACCCTGGCCCAATCAGTCCCCTGTCGTTTAATGGATATGCCATGTAGGGTAGCGATTAAGTTCAGCTGATTGACATATCCTTGGTGCTCATGCCTAAAGGAATATGAAATGAAAAAAATGCAGGAATTACAATTAGGATGTGGCGTTTAGCAGCTAAATTATCAGTCCTTTGATTCTACTTGATTTGAACTCAGAATCATATACAGTATTTAGTATGATTTTCTAAAGGTCATACGACTGTTGGCCGGTGGTTCTGTGCGTGCTTGACGGTGGGATGCCGTCTGATCAGTGGCAATCTGAGCGGATTGTCATTAAGAACGATCCGCTACACGCGTGTAATCAGGTTGGAATTGGAAGCGGTTTGGTGCAGCGGGAACGGTTTGGTTTCCACCTCAAGGTTGGGGTTTCAATCTCGTTGGATGTAGTGTATGCCCTACTTAAAATGGTTCAATCTTCTTATACGGCAAAACCTTTTCATTAAACTGCATATAATAGCAACCAGTCAATTTAATAAATCCAATCCAAGTGTCACTTGTGAAGTAACTTTAAGATGTCAACTGGCAATCTTCCAATAAGTTTAATCAATTATTTGACCTGATTACATCACTTCGTTTTCATAATGCCCTTATGAATTTGTCCCTTTACTGTGCATCAGAGCATCTAAAGACAGGTAAATTTGCTAAAAGTTTACAAATCTTCAATTCTGGGATCCTTCATTAATTTGTTTTTTCTATCATTTACTGTATCTGAAATCTACCTTTTATTCCTACCCCGGGAAATAAACATGTGTTTCATAATCTATTTTTTTATATTCTTTATAATAATTTTTACATTACATTCAAATCAGATTATATATATTGGTGTAAATATTTTTTTAGACTATTTTGTATTTTCAATAAGAGTGGTTTTAATTTTCTGAGACTCGCATATTTATTGACAATACACGTAATGGACCATTCCAGGCTGTCAATCAAACTGAAACAGCTGACCAATCAGAACAGAGCCAGAAAGATACACATGTTTTGTCCCACAAGTTTTTACACTGTTGTTTTGTGGGACATCAGTAAAAAATGTCCAAGGGGCCAGGAAAGGTCTATTGATTTAGCAGATAGAATGCGTCTTTATAAAACAAGATAATTTAGACAGTTTTTAAAATTTTAAAAGCAGATTCCACCGCCTCAGCCCATTTAGTGTAAAGATTTTATAATTTAATTTTATTTTACAATCTTTACTCTTGATATTGCTATGTTTTAAGTATATTTTCATTTCAAGAAAACATTTTTTGGGGTTTGGGTCGGTAATGTTCATAACTATTATAATATATATACTATATATTTATATTTTATATTTTTATATTGTTTATGTTAATTTATATCTTTATATTGTTTATATGTTTTTTGTTGTATTTTTGCAAAATGTTTTACTTTATATTCTAAAAACTTTTGTACCCAAGACCCCAAGGGAGACCAGGCTACTTGACTGAGTGGGCCACCCTGGTTAAAGATTGTGAATAAATAAATAAATAAATATTAATTATATTTCTAATAATGTGTTGGTATAACCAGAAACACAATTAATTAACACATCAATTACAAAATCACAACATTGTTTTATTTTCACTAGGTATATTAATGTTAACTTGGGTGCTGGTAGCAAAAATCATTTATATCCTAACCCAGTATTATGAAAAGTTAAATGATAAAAGCATGAACAGTTATGTGTTTGAAAACTCTTCTTATTTTTTCCCTTGCAATTTCCCTTTGAAAGAAAGTTGTATTGTAAATTTTATAGAAATGTTTTTCCAATATTTTCTGGGCACTGAATATTTGCCTCAGGAGGTTAGCCCTTGCTATTGATTGAATATTCAAAAAACGAGTATACTTGTTTGAATAAGCTCCTCTTACAATTACCAAAATCAATAAAGGGAGTATGCTTTATCTGATAAATGGTTTATACTTTACACATCAACTGAAGCCCTGTATATAGACTATGAAATTTCATTTGACAAAAATGTCTGGTATGCCTAAATATGGTCATGACATGACTATATATGGGGATAAAACAGTTGTTTTTTTGTGTTTTTTTTTTGTCAAAGAAAGTTTGATAATCTGGACATAGATTTACATTGTCTTAATCAATTTAGGGGTATTTTATTTAAACTTTTTTAATATTAAAACATAACAATGTACTTGTTTTTATTTATTTGCAGGCGACAAATGGAGCGGGAAAAACAAGCCAGGATGTATGTTCCAATGTACACAAACTTAACAGCCATCAACGACCCAAATGCTACAGAAATGTAAGTTTAAGACAACTAGCTGTTTTATTAGTGATTTTTTTAAAGCTTGGAATTTTCACCTTTACACTAAAATTACATAATAAACAGACACAAAATGTATTGTGGATTGTCTTTCAAATATATTCATTTATTTATAAATTTCAGAATTTATTTTTAAAAAAAAATGTTTATGGTAACTTTTTTTTAGAAAAATATTTATTACTTTAACTACAATTTCTTTTCTCCAATATAAATTTCCTCCCCTAAATAATAATGGAATAGTCTTTCTACAATTACATTATGCTTACTCTATCCCTATATAATATTAAAAATACTACGTCTTTTTGTACTATATTTTTCTTTTTATCTTATGTTATGACTATAACTATTGAATTTCAAGAATAATCTTTTCCCCCTTTACTTTTCTATTTATTGTAGGACAACATAAAAAATACAATTATATATTTGAAAACTTTTCCTGATTTTCCTTGAAATTTGCCCCTTAAATTATGATGTATTGTCACTTTTCCATGTCATAGGGATCTTATTCGCATTTCCGAACTTTCCAGTGATGTCCATCTCAGGAGGTTAGCCCTTAATTATCATCTTACAATTATTCTATTAAGGCCGGTGAACTTAATTTGCAAGCCCCATTTAACCAAATTCTTTCCCGATCTCTTTCTTACATGTACCCTTCCTGGTGATGGCTAGGTGATTGGATTACTACTTTTATGATAATGTTTGTGCAGCATAGTACCATACCTTTATTCATTTCTATTGTATCCAGTTTAAAGCAATTTTAAATCAATCGCACAACAAAATTTATAACTTCAAAATTACAAATTTGATAATTATTATTACCATTTAAAATTATTTCATAATAGATATTTCTATAGTATATTTAACATATAAGAGTTAAACAGTGCTATTATCTATTCTTGCACTCTCTGATTTAACATTCATATTTATATTTTCTTTGTATGTCATCTAAAAGAAATTTTTAAGCTATTTGCTTTATTCTTTCATTTTAACTCTATTCCCTTATTTCTATCAACTGAATGTTTCCCTCATATTTGTTTATACTCTTTCATACATTTTTTTTATTCCATTATGTATTATAGATTTATAATTTCTATCCTTCCATCCCATCCTGTTTTAAACAGGATTTTCATTGCATTTATCCCATGGTTTATCTCTCTCATTGTTCAGTCATTTTTTAAATTATTCCATTTTTTTCATTCCATTCAACTTTTAAACTTTCTTTCATTCCATTCAAATTTCAACCTTTCATATTTTTTCTATCCAATATTTGATTCATCTTATCTTGTCATTATTCCTCCATCCATTATTCATTCTAGTTTCTAACCCACTCATCCCATTTGTTAATCCTTCATCTTTCCCATTCAGCCTCCATTCCATGATCCGCACCCATATAATGTGAGTCCTCATTTCATCAGGAGATTTTGCCATGATTCTGATAAAAGCGCCCTCACGAAAATTACTTTCAATACAATTATTCTAAAATTCATAGTTTTCATTTACTGTAAAATAAATGTTTTTATTGAGTTTTTAAAATAAATTGGTGTCTGAATTTCAGATATTTCAATGGTAGCTATTTTTTTTTTTTTTTTTCAAAATATAAAAAGAAAAAATGAAAAAAAAAATTCATTGTGACGGCACTGTTATTGGAATTTTACAATGCAGGTGCATGTTGTTGCGATTAGAATAGTTGGGTTAGTTAATAGCGAGATGCTCTCTTTTATGTAGCTGAAGCTTACACTGAGCTGAATACCATTATATGTTGTTTGTTTATATTTATTGCTTTCTGTTATAAAACACAAGAACAATAAGCAACAAAGTCAAATTTACAAATTACAAAAGAATAAGACAATAAAAAGCAGTTCCAAAAATGGGAAGCAATGAAAAGCTCTAATAAGCCAAATGTTTGTGTCCATAGAGGTCTCCAACCCAAAAATAGAAACATTTAAACAAATAATTAAACAATTAAAATTTAAAAGAAATGGAAAAAAGTGGAAAAAATTGTCTGCATATCTGCATTTTCATGTACCATTGTCATGGGGCTAATACCAGCAGTGGCTCCAGAAATCTGCTGTAAAGGGGTCCGACATATCCAACGGAGAGATCTGAACCAAGGGGCCGACTAGAGCCTCAGTCGGGGTCTCGGAATAAAAATTCCCTAGTATAGTTCACAGGTAACATTATTTGGACAGGCAAATTATTATTTTTTATAATGTTTGATCCAACATCCTTGTTCTGGCCTGTCCGACCGGGGGGTAGGGCAATGCACCCCTGCCCCTACTGGCACCACCCCTGGCTAATACTGCTGTTTGCTGCTTGCATTTCTAGTTACTGCATGGAAAATCATTCTAAACTCATAGATTTTCATTCACATGAAATATGTAATTATACTGCTACCTGTAATATATTTTTTTATTATTCATTCTAAAATGTGTGACTTGCCTTCAACATGTAATATAACAGGTGAAATTACCAATAGAAGTAGAGGTGTGGCCTTACGAAAAAAAAAAAGGGAAAAAAACAGAATTTATTTTTTTTTAAAAAGAGAGATTTCAGTGATGAGCCACTAGTATTTAGAATTTCAAAATGTTAAAATCACATTTTGAGTTAACATACCAACAAATAAATTAATTTATAAAAATATGCTGAAGTACAAGTCTCCCTTACAATCAGAAACCCTCTAATTAAAGTCACTCTTTGGTCCCAAATTAACAAATTTCTTTTATATTTATGATGCTAAATAATTAGAGACCAAACTTGCTTCTAAAGACGGTGCAGAAACCCTGGCCCAAAAAGTGGTTTTTAATGCGAGGTGTGACCTGCATTAAAACAATAAAAATAAAAGATACATGTTTGCTAAAATCCAGTGCCCGACATGTATATCTCCATTCAACGTTAACAGCAACATCACTTTGTGATGGAAGTCACATATTTTGGATAGTGCTTTTTTTTTTTTACAGAAACTTTTGTTAAACTGGATAGTGCTTTTTTTTTTACGGAAACTTTTGTTAAACTGTAGTGTTTGGATTATTGATCTATTAGACTATCGTAAATGCTTAAATATGCACTGCAGTGCTTATAAAATTATTAGAAGGCTTACGTGCAGCGCTTGCTCAAAAAATATTGGCCTGGCATTTTCCATGCCAGTTCCCATGTTACCTATCTATCTCACATATTTTCATAGTTTAGTAGGCCTATCATAGGTCCTGCGTCATTAAAATAGACATTTATAAAGAAATGCTTGTGTCTTCATTGTGTTATTTATTTTAACACTGTATATATAAAACCCTCTTTCTCAAAGTGTTCCATTACACACAGGGTAATTATACTCTCGGTTAAGCGCCGCAGTGCTTACTGGAGACCGGCGCTTAGCTAAAAGAAAATCAGGTTTGGTGTTGCGCTTATTCGAGTGCGGTGCTTATTCAAGCATTTACAGTATCTCTGAAGATTGTAGAAATTGTATAGTTTGCTTGAATCGTTTTTGTTTCAAATTTTAATATATTTCTTATATTTGTTTCTTTCATTGTAGATCTAATCCGGTATATTTCGATGACCAGTCCGTTCAAGCGTAAGTATTAAACTCATTAATTGACCAGTTAATTAATGTTACAATGATAATTAAATGCCTATTGTGTGTTAAACCTTAGTCTAGAGTTCATACTCCAATTTTCAAGGTAGTTTTAGGCTTATTAGACCACATCCATGCATCCTCACAACTCCCTTCCTTACAAGAGACACTTCTTACTGGCAGTTTTATTGACTAGTGAGCCATCATGGAGAATTAGAGTTTGACTTGTTTATAGAATGCAACCTAAATCTATTACAAACATGTTAATAAAAAAAAATTGTATATTTTAATAGGCCATTTAGCTTTGAGATGAAAATTATAACTAGAAAAATTGTCCTCATCAATTAACAAATTTATGTATTCAAAATGTAATTTTTAGAAATTTGGAATATAGAAATCAACCCACATCACCTCATTATTTATTAAATAAACAAAATATTTTTTTGGATCCACAAATGAAAAATGAAATATTAGTTGTAATTTATCCTCATTTTCTTTCTCTGTTCTCTTTTCTTTTGCCATTATGATGATATCTACTGCACATTCATCTTTTAGAAGTGAGCAGTTATTCCCCAAGTAAGTCCATTCATTCATCTAGAACATTCATTCTTTCTGCCATTTCTGCTGAGTTTTCTACATTCACGCAGTGGTATATCTAGGGGAGGATGTGAGGGGTGCATGCT